ACTGGACTAGGGACTGAGTTGATGGCCATGTTGGGGCCACGGTTTAGGTCTGTGACTCCCGGCTCTCTGGCCCCCGAATCTTCCCTGGAAGCTCCGAAAAGCTGTTCATTTCCCGCATCGCCGGTGCCAATCCTCCAGCGTAGCCACGGGTGCGAGTGGGCAGCTGTTTGGCAGCGCGGCCCGGTTCTGAGGTGGAGAAGGGAAGTGTGTCCAATCACCGCGGCACGGGTAACGTGGGGCAGCAGCCCGCCCATGTAGGTGACTGGGGCCACAGAAGAGCCACGTCATGCCGTGTGATGCAGTCCTGGAGGTCCGCCCCGCTCCAGCTCACCATGTGACCTCAGCATGTCTGTGTCCGGACCTTCCCCGAGCATTTCTTCAGTCACAGGGCGTCGGGGGAACTGGCTTCCCCACTCGCTCCCCATCCAGATGGCCTTCCAACTGTGGACTCCATGTTAACGATCACCCCTCAGGTGGGAAAGCGGAGGGAAACACCGTTCCCAATGCAGAGGGCCATGAAACACCACACAAAGAGAAGCTGTAACCAGCAATGCGCTGTTAGGAACAGTGGTGCCTTCTAAGTAACATGCACCCTTCCCAGGACTGACACGCGGTGAAGAGCAGAGGCGGGGTTTAAGGAAACCTGCTTTGGAGACTTGGCTTTGTTTCTGTCCTTCCCCGACCTTCCCAGAAACTGCCCTGGAACAGTCTTACTACATTGTTTTTTAGTTTCACTAACATCTACACCCCACCACCACATTAGAATGCGTCTTGCCGCTGCCCGGCGCAGGCTGCTGGGATTAGTCTCTCGGGGGACTGGACCACACACCTGCCCGGACTTGCCTTCTCACTACGCTCACCACAGCTCCAAGGACACCGTGTCCTTCAGTTCCCTGCGGAAAGCTCCTGGGCCACCAACCCTGAAAGCGTCCATTGCTTTCAATATTTCCGCATGCGACGAGCATGTGCCCATGGAGTCTATGGTGGTGTCTGATGGCTTCTTCGGTCTGGGTGTCCGAATTCCACAGTGTGCCTCCGTGCCTTATGGAAATGAACTGAAGCGGGGCTGATGCTTGTCCAACTCCGGGTGCCATTCCCACCTGGAGTCTTTGGTGCCCGATGGAGTGGCGCAGTGCGCAACCTGGGCGGCCTTGGGTGGTGGCCCCGATTGCTGCAGAGCCGGGCGTGTGCTGACGGGGAAAGGCTGACCGTGTGTGCTTCAAGGGCAGCGTGGAGGACATCAGCGCTGGAGTGGGGCAGAGTTCACCCTGTGGGATTATGGGGCGAGATTTGTATCGCCTGCCAAGCTTTCAGGGAGGCTGCTGAAGGAGTTCTTAGGGCCTTGTTTCCTGGGAGGCTCTGGGTTTGGGGTGTGGTTGACCTCAAACCCTGGAGGGGGCTGGGCAGTAGCCAGCAGGGGACATGCACTCACCAAGCTATGAGCTCTCTGAAGGTGTGTCAGTCCTTGCTGGACAAGGAGGGAGGTTTTGTTTTTTCCTTTTTGAAAATCTAGTAGCGCCTTAATGTTCGGGCAGAGCTTGCTTTCTCTGCAACCCCAAGCTTCCCAGTGAGAGGGCTTCCTGGGAGGGGCCCTGTTCCGCCAGCAGAGTGCTCAAGCCAGCACTCATCTGCAACGCTAGATCCCTTTGGAGATCCGAAATGGAGCTGCTGAATTGTTGTCATGGTTACCTGGGACAGTTTCTAAGGCCAGAATGTTTTCAAGGAGGGCAGCCCTGAGCTGGGTATCCTGGGTTTCTGAGCAGGCAACTGAGCCCAGAGAATTGCTTCCTTCTTCCTTCTCCCATTCTCCCAGTCTCTCACCGGGAGCCTGGCTGATCACTCAGCCCGGCCCAACACTACAGCCCACGCTTGCCACAGCCTTCTGAGATCAGGCTGCCCTGGCAGCACCCTGACGGGCTCAGGCTGCCTCCTCCCCCTACAAACCAGCACCGGTTCCCGGACTCACTCATGCATGCAGCTGCTTCTGGGCGAAAGACATCTGGGAAGCAGTTCTCTGCATTTAATATATTAATAAGGAACTGACATTTTTGAAAACCTATGAGCCCAGCACTTCACATGTATCTCGTGTAATTTACCGACCTACTGCTGGAGGAAATATCATTCACATGTTATCTGTGAGGAACCAGAGGCTGGCAGAGGTGATGCCTGGGGCTGTACAACAGCAAGTGGCAGAGCTGGGATTCAAATTCAGGTTGGTAGGTTCCAAAGATAGTCAGTCCTCTTTGCTCCAAGTAATGGCTGCCATGTTAGCCACTGAGAACTGGCAGCTCCAAAAAGGACTCTGCACTGTCTGCTGGGCACGGAACATCCGCTAGGTCCTGTAAGAAACATGTCCCGAGTCTGCTCCATGCCAGACCTTCTGCTGGCTACCGGAGACACAGAGGCAAATCAGGCCCAATGCTGGCCCTCAAGAAACTAGTCCACTGACAACCAGCAGCAATTTTAAAAGGGGGGCTCTATAAGATGCTAGAAAGAGGGCAGCCAGGGAACCAATCGGGAGGAAATGACACCTGACAGCTAAGCCTCAGAGTCTGCCCAGATGTGGGGAGTAAACAGCAGAGTAGGCCCAATCCCCATGCCCCAGGTGCTTGTAGGAGAGCCACAGAGATGGGACTCATACTTGTGACATGATAAGAAAGAATAAAACCACGAAGGCTCTAAACAGGTGTTCTACACGGAAGTGTTGGAAGATTGAAAAACCAGGCAGCAGAAGCTGGGGCCATTGAGGGAAGGTTACAGAAATGAAGCAGAAGCCACCTTTGTTCATAAAAGAGTTCTTAAAGGTCTTTGATCTCTCTTCTTCCCCTACTCTTGCCACAGTCACTTCTGGCTCTACTCTGATTTCTTTTCTTCATTTTCCAATTCCTACTAAAGGAAAACACTCACCTATTCAACATCTTTAGAGCTTGTGCCGAGAGCAAGGCATTCACCTACCCAGTGGTTCTCAACCTCCTGGCCCTTTAAATACAGGTCCTCATGTTGTGACCCAACCATAAAATTATTTTTGTTGCTACTTCATAACTGTAATGTTGCTACTGTTATGAATCGGAATGTAAAATATCTGATATGCAGGATGGTCTTAGGCGACCCCTGTGAAAGGGTCGTTTGACCGCCAAAGGGGTCGCGACCCACAGGTTGAGAACCGCTGACACACCTGACGATGGTCACAGTGGTGGGAACGTGTAACGATGAACAAGACATACCCTTGAGCAGCAAGTGAACAACCTAACTGAGAAAGTGTGAGAGATCGGAGTTCCAAACCAAATAACAGAGGAATGAAATACTTTAGACTAGGCAAGGGGGCTGTCATTCAGGAATGACTTCATCCTTGCAGGTTTGTTCATTCATTTCTTCAGCATTCATTCTCTGATGCCTCCTACCTACAGGGTCCTCTCCTCATAGAGCCCACAGCTGAGCACAGGAGCATGGACATAAGCAACCATTACAATACACAGCATTGTGATAAACAAGCACAAGGTGCACACAGAGCCGTGGATGCTCAGAGAGAATCCACAAGACAGAGGGGGGTGGCTTTTGAACTGAGTCCTAAAGCTCAACAGGGGTTCACCAGGTGGAGAAGAGAGGCAGGGGAAGGGAAAAGCACTGAGAGGATGTTTGAAACAGCTTGGTGTGGGGCGTTTGGGTGGGGGAGGGGGGGTGAGTTTTAAGATCTACAAAGGCCTTGCCCAGCACGGCTCAGTGGTTGAGCGTGGACCTATGAACCAGGTCACGCTTGGGTTCCCGGACAGGGCACATGCCTGGATCGCGGGCTGGATCCCCAGTGTGGGGCGTGCAGGAGGCAGCTGATCAATGATTCTCTCTCATCATTGATGTTTCTATCTCTCTCTCTCCCTCTCCCTTCCTCTCTGAAATTTATATATATATATTAGAGGCCCTGTGCATGAAATTCATGCACAGGAGGGGTCACATACACACACATACATTTACAAAGGCCTTGAACACCAAATTTAGGCGAGGTAACGGGCAACCATAGAATAGATCTGAGCTGGTGAGGACCACACGATTTTTGTTTTGAAGATGCCCCTCTGCTACAGGGTAAGGTGGCTGGAAGGGGATGGACACCAGGCTCAGCCACGGGCGGCCCAGCAGCTGTATCTTTGTGCCCCAAAGGCTGCGCCAGACCTAAGCCAGGCCGGGGTCGGGGGTGAAGGGTGAAGGGAGAGTCTGGGACGTACGCAGTTCTAGGCACCGGACAGCTGGGAGGACCCCCTCTGGGGCGGAGCTCGGGGCAGCACGTGACGCCCGGGGAACCACCTTTACTGTGGGCAGTCCTTCCGCTCACCCGCGTTTTCAGGGGTCACCACTTCGACACCCAACACCTGGCCCCTTTTCCGCGGTGCTCAGGACATCCGTTCTCTTCCCCGCGTCCCTCCATGCTCCTCCTGCCGGGTGTGATGGGGGTAGAGAAGCAGCGAAGGAGGCCTCTGCCCGCCCTAAAGATGGCGCCCCGCCGCACTCAGCCCGGGTGGGGGCGGGTCCGGGCGGCCGGCCTCACTGGGCGAGGCGCTGACGGAAGGGGCGTCTCTCGAGGGAACTTTTCGACCTTCCTGGGAGGGGAATCTAAGGGGAGGGGCGTGGCCCCGTCTAAATTCCGGCAGCGGATTGGTCTCTCGGCGGGTGGGCGGGGCGTCCGCGGTACCCCACCCCGCCCTCTGCGAACCGGAAGTGTCTCTCGCTCTTTCCAGCTGGTTGTCATTTCACTCGGCTCGGTCCTGAGGAGAAGG